GCGTCTCCTCCATGAAAGAAAAATTTGGAATAAAAAAAACAAGGCTAAAAATTTGCCTCTTTTTTTTGAAAAAAAAAAACCAATATGGGGAACCATAAAACAAATTCAATAAGGGAAAACCCGAAAAAAATAAAACAAGCGTTTAAATAATCTGACAAGTAACAGAAAGTATCCCAAAGGCGAAAAAATGATGTAAAAAACGGGCCCCTTTGTTAAAGGGGACGCCCAGAAAGGGTTTAAAGCTTTAAACCCTTTAAAATGAAAAAAAAATGAAATAAATTAAATCAAACCTACGTAAATTATGGGTACTATTATTTTCCAAAAAAATTTTGGGAAAATTACGGATTCTTTTTTCAGCTTTTTCAATTTTTTGGTAATAAGTTTTCAATTTTTCCATTAATGCCTGAATGTATATAAGTTAACAGCACATCTATAGACCGTTTCATTTTTTTTGATAACAATATATTATATAAAACAAACAAATAAAAGGATGGTCAATTGATTTTATAAAATACATTTCTCTTTCAGGTTTTAAAATACAAATTGTTATGTTTAATACTTAATAACATTTAAATGCACATGGTTTGATGATAAGTAGGAGATATATTCTATCAAATATTCCAAGCACTGTTTTTTTGTGATCATTAAAAAAGACAATTTGGGAAGACGGTTGAGTTTAAGGAAAACGCAAAAATAAAATTAATTAAAACGTTGAGTTTCTTTGATTTATTTTAGAATGTGCCAGTTTAGAAATACAATTTATTGATAGTAGCACTTTTCTTTTTTTTGCAGTGGATCAGTTTGTTATATTTTCACTACATAAAAATAATTGTGTACATATCTAAAAAGGTTTTGTATGCCAAAATCAATGTGGTCGTTTCTTAAGATAGATTTTTATTGAACTATCAGATTCGGTGGTTTTTTTAATTTTGAATTGTCGATTTTTTTATTAATACGTAAATAAAAGATGGACAAAAACTATAAAAAATAAAACATTACTATATCTACTCTAGAAATTATGAGAGACGTCCTAGACATGTGGATCATCTAATCGGGGTTTTTTTAAGTACAAAAGCTGTTTATAACATGAAGAAAAAGCATACCTTCTTTCTTTATCTGGCTATTTTAAACATGAAACCATATACTAAATACTTAACTGGTATCTCATAGAATTTAGACAAGAATATCTAATTTAAATTGGGAAGTATCATCAAAAACACATCTTATCTTGACGTCAAAAACATAAAAAAAACATAAACTATTTGTTTGAAAAATTAAGGGACACTATCTCAAGAGCTATTTTAAAACCTTTCAAGTTTAGGAGGAGGACTTTAATCTAAAAATAAAATTTAAACAGTTTACTCGGATCAGACATTAGATCAAAACCGTTTAAAAATTTGTCACATTTTATTTACACACTGTCTTCGGTTTATATAAAACATGGTGGGGCTAAGAGCGAGGTTTTTGGTGCACCATAACCGGTTTAAACTCCCCAGCAGTCATTATTATGCTGCTGACCGTTACCAAGGCCCGGCGGCCCCCCTCTGTGTTCCTCAGATGTATAATTATATGTCGTTTCTTACTGTTTTGGTTTGGCCACACTTTTGCTTGTGTCCCTTGTTGTTTTCTCGTCCAGGGTGAGTATCTTCCCCATTGCCTCTAGTTTTTATTTCTTTGATTAACGCCCACCCCCCTCCCCCGGTCTCCTGTCCCCATCCCCTTTTGTGGGCATATTATTCTTTTCTTTTCATTCCTAATCAGTTACAAATTATTTTATCATTTTAAATGATTAAACCACCGTCCGTGCTCACTGTCTTTGCCCTGTCCTGTTTTTATGTTTGGGGTCCGCCTGGGCTCCTTGCCACTGGTTCTTGTTGCTGGGTCATATGGGGGTTGCGTTCATTGAACGCCGCCTTTCCTTGTTGATCTTGTTTATCATATTTTATTCAAATGCATAGACTTATTGGCTATCTTAAAAGTATTGTGCACAACTGATTATTTTTATTTAACATGATATTAAAAGGTTACAAGTTTGCGCTTTCATCAGGATTATTATTAAAATTTATAAAATTATATTTACAACTAATCAGAAAGAAACGCTTATTTCAGAGTTAATAGCTTTAGGTCTTTCGGCCCTCTTCAGCTTCACAGTCAAACAGAGAGAAATAATTCATAAATGAAATAAATTCAATTAAAGAAACGCTTCAGGACATTAACGATGCAATTACCGCTTAATCGACTTTTCTTTAAGTGGACACATTATGGTCATTTTTATCCTCAATCCATATCGTAAGTGTATAGCTTTGAATTACCAATCGCGATTCCATTCTTGAGTGTGGCAGTTCAAAATAATGTAAATGGTTACAGTCATAGCCCGAAAATATACAAAATTATAAAAGTGAATGTTAGTACTTTTGATATATAATCATGTTCAAAAGTCTTCATTGCCGTTGAATCTTGTCTGTACTGCATGGTCACATTGTTACTTTCAAAAGTATATATGTGTATATTTAAACCTTACCACCCTAAATATCTTAAATAAACTAGTCATTCATCATTTTAGGGAAAATTTCAAAATATTTATTGACTTTAAGTGACATTATACTGATTAATTTCACTTTCAAGCTAAAATAAGTTAGATGTCTTTTTAAAAATATTGACTATTTCAATGGTGATTAAACAATGATTGATAATCACAAAGGTTAAGGAGTTTTAAATGCAAAAAGCAGAAATTGTAACATACGTTTCACTTTCCTTTGTTTATTCTGATATAAAACGATATATATGTTTCTTTATATAACATTTGTGACTCAGAAACATTCATCATGTTCTATTTTTGTTTTTGTTGTTTACAGTTTTGTTATTTACTGAAGACAACAATCCTTAACGAAGCTTATTAGTTTGTATCAATCCTCAGTTTGCTTCATATATCCAAATTTTCCCTACAATCCCTAATTGCAATTGATTTTGTTTCTGTTATTGTCATATACAGAAGATGAGCAATACTTTTATTTTATCTCCGTTGCTGTGTAAGGTCCAACTATGTTCCTCAACTCCATCGCTGTGAGTTATAATATTTTAAATTAGTAATATCATTAAAGCTCTATGTTAACATTATACAAGACAAATGTGGATGTTTAAGTCGTGGAGTCAAACAAAGTAATCTTTAAACCTTTTTGCAAAATATGCTTTTGTTTGTATTTCTTTCAATAACTTTGCAATTTTTTAAACAAATATCTTTCCAAATGCATCGAGTTTAATAACATTTAGCATTAGTTTGTCATAGGGATTTAATTATGTGCGTTTATATTAGAATTACGTTTCACTCGTAAAGTATGTAGAACAAATTTAAATGAGAGTACATTATTTGAAATGTTTGTGTTCATTTCTTTTCAATATCAACTGAGTAGTCTTAGTATTTTACTAGGGGATATGTAGCGCATCGATATGAATTAATTTTAATAGTACTGTCTGAAATGGAACTGATCAGCTCTAATGTCATCAAAGTATTAGTGAAGGTAACATGTTCATTATCCAAAGGAAATTCAGTCATTAATTTCACAAACAACTGTATAAATTTGGCATCGGTATTTAAAAAGCCCATTATGCCTAATAGATGAGTGATTTAATTAGACAATATTTCTGTAAAAAGACTGATATTTATACGAATGTAGTTGAAAACTGATAAATATCAATGAAAGAAGAAAAATGTTTTTTCCTAATGCCTTCACCACTAAGCTGCATTTCTTGATGCAAGAATTTTACTTCCTTCTATTAGATGACATCTTAATGACAGACATGTTGTTACAATCATTATTATTATAACATTACGTGTCGCTCTCGGACGTTAAGAAACTCTCTATTCTGATTGAATTGTTGTCAAGGGATTCTATACAATATTGTGTCTGTAACCGTAAATTATTGCAAGAATGTAGAAATATCCAAATGAAAGTCGCGAGCGGATTGCTTGATTTATAAATAACGAGCTCGCCCTCTGTGTAACACCAATTACTGGTAACAGAAAATTGTTAAAGGTTGTCAACTTGTCTGAAAACTTCAAAGCAAGCAGGCCTCATAAAGAAATTATGGCTCAGGGAGGAAAAAGTAGAAATTTAAAGGATATTTGACGATTTATATTCAAAGGTGGTTAACGGAGCAGCTCTTAAAAGGCATGGTCGAAAGAAAATGGGCTTAAACATACGAAACAGGTGAGCTGCGGAAATACATTGTTTAAATGCTTGTAAGTTAACAGTGCAACCAAATCCCTTATTGTTAGGAATACCTTTTGTTTCCACTTACATTTACTTGCTACAAAGCATTTTATGAAATTTGCTAAAAGATGCAATTTTGTGATGATTAAAAGTATACAAGTATACTTTTTACGGGTACAGGCGGGTTAATCCCGGAACTAAAAATAAGTATAAAATGATATAGCATGATTATCGTGTTCCATACAATTACAAATAGTAATATAGGTTGAAACCAAAAAGTTTCATATATGATAGAGAAATGATATGAATGAATTATAATATAAAAAAAGCAAATCACAGATTTTTAACCCTTATTCTTCTTTTTTACTGGAATTAACTTTCTAATTTTGGTAATTGACCATTTTCAATTTACATATATATCACCATATCATTATAAAGTTAGTCTGCCAACAGTATTGGACCTTGTCCGAATGCATGAATGCGCAGACTTGCGTGGTTATAAATTAAAAAATATAATGGTGGCCAAAAATATCATAATCCGGTTTAGCAGGGTAAAGGTAAATGTGGAACAAAATGTCATAAGAATAAATACTCCTTCAAACCAAATTTAAGAAATTCCCTACAGATTCTTTCGGAATGTTCCATTTTAAAAACAAGAGATTGCATGATGGAATATTCCGTTTCGGCTAGTGTAACCATCTCTATAAACGGCTGCAGGCTAGATAACCCTTTCATACCAAGGTTAATATCCATTCCTGAAAATATAATAACTATGTTCGTTTACAATGTCAAAGATATCTGTTTTTAACTAATGCGATAATGAAGCAGATGCTTGATACAAAATACAATACAATACAATTAAAGAATTTAGTTAAAATGTAATGCTTTAAATTTTGAATAGTTTTTTAATATTCCAACAATTATTCATGTATCATTATTCAAAGACAATATCATGTTTTGTCATGTGTAATCCGAGTATATTTGAAATTTTTAATAGCACTTTACTCATATGTCGTTTTTCTTGGCAAATAATCAAATCATATGCAAATGTAAACCATCCTAAATTGAAATAAAGAATCAGAAAAAAAATCTGTGACATGTTTTATCATGGAAACATTATTTTAAATGTTGCATATGAGCATCTACACTAACAAGATAAAAACAAATGTACCTGTATTAAAGTTATATGACCTTGATGCTTCACCCTCGGTTATTATAAAGAGATCACAGTCAGATATATAAGCGACATTTTCCATTCTTTGTGATAACTTGATCTCGTATAATCTCGGACTGAACTTCATGTTGTTAAGACAATACGAGTCACTGATACTCGCATCGTCTGACCGTTTATATATGTTGTAACATTTTAAAAATATATTCCTCATCATCTGTAAAACAAAGTAATGTATTAGATAAAAAGTACTTTTTGAACATATCTATCAATAAAGCAGAAAAATGTGTCCTTTATGTCCTGATAATTGATATCGTACAATGAATAATAAACATTTACAAAATAAATGAACAATAGAAGTACTTACTGACTTATCTAATACTGTTTTCAATGCCCTGACAATATTCGAGTCGCATTTATTTACAGCTAATGCCATATATCTACATCTGGAATTTCCAAATAGTTTCAAAGTGAATTTTGAACTCCCATTCTCTTCAAATGCGGATGATATGTATGCAGATAAGTCGAAAGAAAGATTATGAATACGCTTCTCCGGTCTTGGTACTAAAGTTTCATTGTTTCTTTCAACTGCAGCCACGGCTCCAAATATTCCACTAGAATGAATGACACATTCATCACTGAGCCCTAATGTATGTGAAGCAAGACCTGTAGACCCATCACAACATATTACCAATTTACGACCTTGGATATTGTCTATATAGTCTCTTTTTTCTCGTGCAAACTGGAAAGAGGCAAAACAGCTTTGTAATGTTTAACAAGACTGTATTTTTGTTTACCCTTTTGTAATAATAAGGGAAACAGGCCAACAAAAGTTACAATAAGATTACACGTGATGTAGTTTTTTATTTTGTAAATAAACTTGACTGTATCATTTACTAAACAATAACACAACTTTGAGCCCTTTGAATGTGCAAACCAGCAAACACCAAAGAATTTTGA